GATAAATTTATTCTCAAATGGAGTTTTGTTTTTATGACGGAAAATTTTTATGACCTAAATTTTTCACTGCAAAGTTTCTTTTGGTTCAAAAGAGCTTGTGGGTTTGTATGTTCAGATTATAGTTGATCAGTGCCAAAACAGGTGGTCAAAATGGTTTTTGGATCACTGGCTTATAACTCCATTTGGGGGCTCTGAATTTTCATCCTGATTTAGAAATGGAAACGCTAAACCTCCAAAGCCCTGGCAAGATATGAAAACTATTTCTTTCCCATCTGTAGTTGGAGAGGGCCTTATTCCAGCAATAGGGATATTCTTAGGACATCATGAATAAAAGTAAGAGAACAAGAAACAAGCTGGTTTATTCTCTCTTCAAGACCGTACCTTTGGATTTATTTTATCAGTAAATGTCAAGGGGAAAATCCTTAGTTCTATTTTCCATTATGAAGCAAAAAACATGTATAAACAGAAATGAAGAAAAGTAGTGGTGAGATTAAAGATAAATAAAAGGATGCCCTGCCTGTCATCATTACTTCTCTCAAATATCCATTCATCAGTTTCCATTTATGGAACCGATGTGTGGGTTTTGTTAGAGCTGTCCAGTTCTGAGAGAAATTAATCTGTTGACACAGAGCTCCAATAATAACAAGAAAGTCCTTGACAAATAATTGTGTGCTTTGCTAGATACAATACAGACGCTCTTTCCTAGGAAAACTCACTTTGCAGTAGTAAGATCTTTCTTCCTTTGAAATGCTACTCTCTCTATATAAGGAATAAACACCAGAGGCTTCATCTTCTTTGCTTGTAGATCAGAATCAATCTGGTACTCACCAGAACTGTATGGATTCTCTCCAGCTGAGAAAAATAGCTCCATTTTCCTTTCAAGGACTTCAGCTTTTGCAAGCTATGAGCAGCAACCTGTTCCCTATTTGGTTCTCAGATTGTGTCTTCTGTCCTGAACAAACTCAAGCTATTATCCCTATGAGCTGTGGTATCAGGCCCAGTGTGGACAAATGGACAATAAAAATCCATCTGATGATGCAGTGAAAATTTATCTTCAGATTAGACCTCGTTTAGTGCTACTAAATGGTCCTACTGAGCCAAAAGTCTTTCTGAAATGCAGGAGTGTTCTTTTAAAAGAAGTCATTAAAATTGAATACACTGAAATGTGTTTCTAGTAGACAAAACCAGAAACAAGTATTTCAATGTTACTACATTTGCATCTTGTTCCTTGGAATTCTTTGCTTGCTAAGCTCTCTCTTTGAGAGGTTACCCTATTCAAGTCTTAAAGATCTCCCAGAGAAACCTTAACAGAGACAAAAGGGAACCCTTGATATTGGTACCTCAAAACATTTTTTAAGCTTTCATATAATATAATGTCACAGATTCTCACTAGATACAGCCACATCCATTCAGTTGAAGCTCAGGTGGGATACCCCTGGACAATCTGAAGATCACTGGGTGATTTGTGTGGGCAACTGTTTCAAGTCACTCTTTATCCCAAAAACACTCATTTAAAATAATTCAAATGAACCACTGTTGAAAAGTGCCTGTTTCTCTCCACTGAATATAAATAGAGCTTGGGATAACCAGCTGCCTAGAAGTAATCTAAAATGAAATTATGCCCATCCAGCTCAGCTCCTTATGCTTTTATTCTTCTTGTCCTCACTGTATGATGGAATTGCTTTATAGGCAAGGCCAAGTCACTCCATTTTTCTCTCTTAGGTAGCTAATCTAGAATGGGGAATAATTAGTTATTCTTTTTCCTGAAAAAGCCTATGGGATGAAGCCAGTAACAGGAGCTTTGAGCGTAACAAGCCAAAGGCTGCACTCGTGTCCTGTCTTGGTGCAACAACAGCTGTGGAAAGCAGTAGCCCTGTGAGAAAGTGGAAAACCAAGCCTTGAAAGAACTGCATACATTCTTCATAGATTCTAAAGCCAGGAGGAGATGTCAATGATTTTTCTAACCTTACTCTACATGTAAAACAGGCCATAGGATTCTCCAGACTTGATGACCCTCTTGGCATCCCCGCCATAATCTCTTGGGCTGATATATAACTCATTTTTCCAGTACCTTCCAGCCAGCCCAGGATGCTCTACTTCCCCCTGTGCCACTTACCAGCCCTTCTAAAAACACAAGACTCTGGTTTGCCGGGAAAGACAGACCGAATTTTGATGCTACCTTTTTCCTCCCTCCTTCTCTTGGAACAGGTTTCTCTTTGCTTCTCAGGCAAATTTCTTTTCTTTTCAAATTTTCCTCCCTCCTCCTCATGAACTGCTAAGGAGTAGTACTCACTGACACGGGGTGTTGTAAAGATGAAACCAAGAGGAAACTGAGTTAATGGATTAGACCCATTCAAGGATGAAAAGCTCCCTGAGGCACAGAGCTGAGTCTAATACCTGTCTCAAAACGTCCTCAGAGTGCCTGTTGCTGCAAGCTAGGACTCTGTACTTGGGCGATGTCATTGAGTATTTGTCCTCCTTTCTTTACACATCAGGGTATGCTGGGTGATCAGACAACTGGGTGTCAGGTCTGACATTTGTCCTTAGGTGAATACCAGGATTTTGATGGGCATTTTAAATTAACTTATTAAATGTTAGCAAAGTGTAACTGTGTGACTACGTCAGGTCGGAAGTTTGGACCAGTTTAAACTTGGGACCTTCCCTAAGAATCCAGGGCCATTTATGAGGATCAGAACAGGAAATAAATCTCCCAGGTCTGAGTTTGTTTCTACAGTTAGGTAAGGTGGAATTTGGGATCAGTGTTTCTGGAGCCTTGGATGAGCAGTGGGACAGATTTTCTGTAAATGAAAGTAATTACTGTAGCACCAAAGTGCTGAGGGGGTTAAGGCAGCCAACCATTAGCCAAAGAAGTCTTCTTCTCTTCCTTCCAAAAATCAGTGTGACTTTGTATTCACAGATGTTCCATTGTGAAACATTAAGACTATCAAGATAGGATTTATTTAATCTAACTCAGTGGAGAGATCTTTTTGCCTAAAAATAAGTGCATAGTACCTTTTCAGATGCTCACACTTCTGCATTTTACTTTTGGAGAAGATCAAAATCCTTAATTTTTCTGTGGCAATTTGAATTTCCAGTTCCCTGCTGTCACATTAAAGTAGGACTCATGAAACCTGAAATGCTTTCTCCAGTCCAGCTCATCATGTTAATCCCATGTGATTAGTTTTCTGCAACTTGCCCTTGCCTAAGAGTCTATAATTCAATCTGGCACTTTCCGTTATGATTGCAAAAGTGGCAAGTTTTGGATTGGTGCCTTTTTTGCATCCTCGACAGAAGTAACCCAAAGCTGGCTCTGATCTGACAAAGAACCTCAAGATTTGGTAGCAGAATTTCAGAAGCAGAAGTTTTCTGTCTATGGGTGAAGGACACCCCAACCCCTCAGTAAACACCACCTGAACATTTCTCTTTATGGTGTTGAGGAGTGGTGCAATCGCCAAAGTGAGGAGTTTAAGATTCAAGTCAAACCAGTGATATGAAGCAGGTTTTGCCCCTGATAAATAAAGTGAGAACCAGTTGACTTCAAGCTCTTAAATATGACAAAGACAATTCTAGCAAGAACAAGTATACAAACTGCACTGTTTTATTTATTTCTTTTACTCACTAAGGCCCTGCTCTGCTAAGAAAATAATTTCAAAAAATGTCCCGATAACTCCTAGAGCAGCATTTTTGTATCTCACATAATAAGTGTTTAATGTACATAATTCCCAACGCTGCCAATTTCTATTCAGGTGCTCATTGCACCACTTGTTATAAACCATGTTACAGTAACCACAGGGAATGATATGATGGATGCCAAGATACTGTAATCATTGAAATATAGCCCATTGCACAGAAAAAAAAAAAAAAAGCATATTTCAAGAACACCTTTAAACTAGCAGCTCCGCTACAACATTCGTAAAGAGTTGGAAGTCAATCACAGAATTCTTGCATTCATAGATTGCAAAATGCCAGGAGCCCTGGGGCATTCGAAATGCCTGTGAGATAAATATCTTCTCACAAGCTTAGGCGGTGACCTCAGCAATCCTGAGATAACAATTCTGTACTTCTGACAGCGTACTTCACCGACGATTTTGAGACAGATCAGTGTGTTGTAAGCTACCCTACTTTATGTGTTGAAAGCAACCCAAAACTTGCTCCTAGGTGACAAATCCTTCTGCTGATCACACTCTACAAATCAGAATCTTCTTTTCAGGTTTTTTTTTTTTCTTTCCTGTTTACACTGAGAGGAAACTTATGTAAGAAACTCGTTAGCAGATGCTACAACAGTAATTAGAGCAACCCTCAATTCTCAGTGGTGAGATTGCAACAGGAATAATAATTACCAGGCACAGCAGATTAAAAAGGGAAGTGATAAATCCGTCACCTCACCTTTAAAGCCAGTGCAGAAGAACAGACATTTTTCAGGTATGATTCATCTTTTCTAAGCGTCTCTTGTGAAGTGCAATGTATAGACTCTACCGAATACAAATAGTGTGACTAGCTCACATTCAGATCTCCGCAATGCAGTCCTGTCCTTTGGGTCTGGGGAGCCCTACCTAACCATTACAGCCTGCTGTGGAATGGGAAGATGGTTCCAAACACCTGACATATCAACACAGCACAGTGCTGCCAAGTGTTCTACACAGGGAGCCTTGGATGAGCTGAGCCAGAGACAGATGCAAACAGACAAACAAATCCCACCCTTAGTTCCTGTGACACCCAGGAAAGGGGTAAAAGGGAGTAAAAATAAGTTCCTTATAATGATCCCTGGGATCATTAATTTTGTACTTCCACTTTCATTGCTGTTTTGAAACCATTAATAGCTGTTGGATATTTGCTGCATAATCCGGTATTTCTGGTAAACTTCTGAGTCTGTTGCAATCAATGGTAAAACCAAGAAGCTGTTTTCAATCAGATTGGAACTGCAAAATGTTTTAAGGTGTATCACATCCACCATTGTTTGACTCACTGATTTTATTTTTTTCCTCTTCCTTCTTTTCCAGATAAACTTTGTATTTCTATTTAACATAGTTAGGATTTTAATGACAAAACTGAGAGCTTCAACCACTTCAGAAACAATCCAGTACAGGTAAGTCAGCTGGCGCTTCTTGCTGTGCGTGGTGTTAACAAAGAACTGCCTTGCCTGCCCTGTCCTTGTCCCGTTGTCGTGGTTTAACCCAGCGGGCAGCTAAACGATACACAGGCCGTCCGTTCACTCCCCCATAGTGGGATGGGGGAGAGACCTTGGAAAAAGCTAAAACTCATGGATTGAGATAAAGAAAATTTAATAGGCCAGTAAAGGACGGGAAAATAATAATAATGATAAAAGAATACACAAAACAAGTGATGCACAATGCAATCGCTCACCACCCGCTGACTGATGCCCTGCCAGTTCCCGAGCAGTGGCCTCCCCCCCCCTCCCCAGCCAACTCCGCCCAGTTTTTGCTCAGCATGACATCATATGGTATGGAATATCCCTTTGGCCAGTTGGGGTCAGCTGTCCTGGTGGTGTCCCCTCCCAGCTTCTTGTGCACCCCCAGCCTCCTTGCTGGCAGGGCAGTATGAGAAGCTGAAAAGTCCTTGACTTAGCGTAAAGACTTCTCAGCAACAATTAAAACATCAGTGTGTTATCAACATTATTCTCATCCTAAATCTGAAACACAGCACTATACCAGCTACTAGGAAGAAAATTAACTCCATCCCAGCCAAAACCAGAACACCCATCTTTGTCTTTCCAGATGCCGCTGTTGATCTCAGAGGGTGTCTTTCTTGCCCCTTGAGCTCATCCAGTTAGGTACACAGTATTTATTTTTGGAGGCTAACCATAAAAGCATGCCTGCATTTTTTCTGTCCACTCCATTTCAATGCCCAAAGAGCGCAAACAGCCTAGGCTGACAGGCACAGAGACACGTGCACTGCTGCAGCCACCGGCCCCTTTACCTCCTGCAGGCTTGCACATGCCCCAACACACATCTGAAATTTCTCCCTGCTGATGAAATCTGAAGGATTCGATTCAAAGTGAGGATAGGAACTGTATCAATTTCTATATGTACATAAGCATATGTATTATATTATATATCATAAATCCTTTCACTGATGACTAGACAGCTCATTCAGCTAATCTACAGAATCAGTGAAAAAGAGTTCAATCCCTACTAGATTGCCACTCTGTCCCAGTCTCTAGCTTTGTAGATGCACAACAATACAATATCAAGACTTCCCAATAAATCATGTGCATATTAAGATCCTTCATACTAATATCCTAGCAGAGCCAGAAGTAAAAGAAGAATGGAGCCTGGGCCAAAATATTCATATCATAGCTGAAATCAATAGCAGTATCATTACTGACGATTACTGTGCACATACAGGTATTTACAGTAGGGTTTAATGTTCTTTTCAAAGTGTAAGGCATGGGAATGAAGGGTGATTTTGCCCCTGCCTTCAGCTGGTACCAGCATTAGTGTAACCGCTGAATGGGTTGTGTCATGAAACTGGTCTTTAGCTAATCATTACCTTCATATGGGATGGCTTTTCAGGTGGATCCGTTTCCTGAGCCGCGCACAAGCACTAGTAGGGCAGACAGGAGAAGATGGGAATGTTCAGCCCAGGGCAGCCGGAGGAAGGTGGCCTTGCCCCTCCTGGCAGCAGTGTGGACTTACATCAGCCTAAACAGTCCAAAAGCAAATTCTTAGAGATCAGGAGATGCTGACTGCCTTTCCTCTCTTACCATTTGCAGTATCTTGCAAGGTGTCTGGAGCATTTATGGACAGACAGGTCCTCACACTGGGAAACAGAACAGGTTTTGTGGAGTAAGATTGGTCACAATCCTTTAAATAATTTCTAGATAAAATCTCAGTATATCAAGCTGAGGCTTGAATCTTGATGTCCTCAAATCAGCCTGCTCTTGACTTTGGAGGCAGTTTTGCTTCAGTAATGGGGTTTTGTTGTTTTACCTGATTCCTTCCTTTTACTGCTGTCTGAGGTTTGGGGACAAATGTGAGGTTAATGCAGTGGTCTGATTTTCTTGTTCAGACTCTTCTCTGCATGTTTCCTAAGAAATTAAGGGGAAGAAAATACCCCTTTTTCATTCTCAAACCTCATGCCATAAAACTAAAACCAGCATGAAAAAATCCTGATTCAAATCTCAGTACATTTTTATCCCTTCCGCAATTTGTAGGGGGCATTAGAGAGATTAGATTCTGAGGCGATCTAAACTAACTGCCTTCATCCTTGAACAGACGATGGTGATCTTCTCGCTACAAGCTCTGTGAGGGAATCTTCTTTTTCACAGCCTAAATAGAAAGCCATATAATTCCAGGAAAGCCTGGGGCAAGCCTTGCTGCTCTAAAGCGGAGTACTCCAAACATTTGTTAAGCAAGTATTAAATGATGTGGCAGCTGCTTCGTTAAGATTGTCAATCTATCCTGACACTGGCAATGTTTTTGTGCTCCCCTGCCTTCCTACCTGCCTGTCTTTATCTGCCTCTTACGTCATTGTACACAAATTTACACAGACTTAGCAAAACTGCAGTCTTCTGGGTTTGTACAGTATCTGGCCCAATGAGGTGCTGGTCTGCAGCTGACATCCCAAGACACTATTATAGCACCGATTATAAAGATTAGCCCCTAATAATTCTGTTAATAATCACTTATGCTTCATTGTGCACCACCTGCTCGTTTACTGTCTATAAGACAGCCCTAAGCAGTTGAGTTGGGTGTGCAGGTGTTGCAGAGAGAGAAAAAGCCTTTACACTCCAGACAGGATCAAAAGATGGGCATAGAGCAGGACCGTGAGGTGTAAGAAATCACTCACCAAACCTGCCGAGAATCTCAAGGCTTTAGCCAAATGCAAGCCTTATTGATAGGACAGAAACTCTAGAGGAAGAAGAGAGGAAGGGAGGCGTATAAAAAAGGTTCTCATTTGTCGCCTGGAGTTCAGAGTGTAGGGACAAACACCAGGATCCAGAGGCAAAGGATTTCCCACAACTCGTTTCTCCAGGTGGTCAGGCACTGGTCAGAAAGTGTTAACTAGCAAACTCACCTGTGGCTTCACAACCCAAGGTGGAGCTGTCACTCTTGCCCTGCTCCCGTGCTAAACTCTATCCAGCCTTTCAGACACGAGATCAGTCTCTCTCTTAAATATTCTTTCCTGAGCCCTAAGAGACTTTTGTTCTTCATTGCTTGAGGACCCTAGAAGCCTCCAGCTTGGGTTACACAATAAGCTGGTTATGAACCTTGGGACTGTTCCTGTGCAGGCAGGCTGAGAAGCGTCTAAAACTTGCATTTCCTTCTGGGAAAAAGCTCAAATCATTTGGCCATTGTGCAAATACAGGCTTCCACTGCTATCCTCAGCAAATGCTTTAGCAGCATGACTCAAGAGTTGGAGGTACCTACGGGGAGCACTTGTGTTCCCTAACTCCATTCACTCGTGTTAGACACTGGACAGAAGTTGACATGTGAATTTGTCTCTTAAAATGCTTCGTTCTAGTGACTGCACATATTGGACAGCCCTGAGCAGACATGACTTAGGCCATCCTTTTGTTTTCTTCTGACCCTGTTGGATGAGTGCAGGCACTGAACTGTTGTAAGGAGGCACCTAAGTTCCCTCTCTAGCTGATGTAGGTACTTCACTTCCCTCTGAATTGCTCTGAGACTCATCCCCTCTCTCCACTAAAGGAGTGATTTGTTTGGATTGGGTCAATCTACAGTGGTTCAGATAACACAGTTGTTCTTGCTTGTGTTCACATGTGTTTTCTGTGTCCTGCCCACAGGAAGGCAGTCAAGGCAACATTAGTTCTTCTGCCTCTGCTAGGCATCACCTATATGCTCTTCTTTGTCAACCCCGGTGAAGATGACATTTCCCAGATCGTCTTCATCTATTTCAATTCCTTCCTGCAGTCTTTTCAGGTAAGAGAGCAAGTTTACAGCTGGTATCAGCTACCGCTGATGGGATCCTCAGTGCTTTTCAGCCATGAAACTTATGGCAATGAAGTCCATGATAGAAATATTAGTTGAAAGTAGCTCAGCGTTGTTTCTGCTTTCACAATAGATACATAAACATGTCATATGGAGTGGAGATCTCCTCTCAGGTGTGTACTGGAGGGATTCATTTCCCTCAACATCAGTCTCTAGCTACAACTCCTCACCTGGGCTCCATCTAAAGTCGATGGAGAGAGAGATGATGTTTCATTCTATCCTAAACTGCCTGAGAGAGGATGATGAATCACCCTCCCAAGGTACCTCTCTCTTCACAGAGCACACGGTGAGCTGAGACTTAGACTAGATGTTGCTAAAACAGCGGGAAACAACTCCTGCCAGCTGGGCTCGATTAAAACATTAGCTATATTGCCCAGCCTCTCAGGTGGGAAACAACTCCTGCCAGCTGGGCTCACTTGATTAAAACATTAGCTATATTGCCCAGCCTCTCACACCAGCTCTCCTGCAATGGTGCATGCACTCAGCCACCAGACCATACCAACTGAGAACTCATCCCCTAGCTCCTCCCTCCCCTGAATTTAATAGGGGTTCTGCCCGGATGTGAAAGGCAGTGGAACGTGAGTAATTGCCCCAGCTTTCTGGATTTGGTACAAACCCGAAAGTGACTGAAAACCTTGAATGGTGTTTAGCCATCCATTTCTGCTTAGGTGTGTCCTACAACTTTACCTCTGCTTAAAGACCTTCTTGAACTAGGGTGGAACTATGTATGACATTAATGTTTTACCTCTGCTATCTGCAAGCACTCTCATACCCAGGATATCAATGCAAATACATAACACACACACTGTCAAGCCAACTCTAGGGCTATGGATCACAAAAATCTTGAGGTTTGGATTACTGGTTTTGCTGATTGCATGTTTAGCTTTGAAACACAGAGCATCCCACCAGAAATCACAACCAAATATCCAAAATGAAAAACTGTCCCTTTTAATCTATGAACAAAGGAACTTTAGCCTTTATCAGTGAAGCAATCCACATTTTTCATTCCTTAAAATCAATTATATTTTTATCTGCTGATGCTCAATGTCTCAAAAAATGCTACGCTGCTTTTTTTGTTGTTAGTGTTACAAAGACCTATGCAAGAAAGAAAGCAGAGGGAATCTTTCCCTTAGGGTGACAATAATTACAGTCCATTGCTGAAAGCAAAATGGGTAGGATTCGCTCGCAGGTTTAGAGATTAAAGTATCATCATGTTGTCATCTGAGCTTCCATTACAGTCATTACGATCTTTGCAGTCATTACAGGGATCTAATCACCGCTGTCAATAGATTCCACAGAGCAATTCAGCTCAGGCGAATGTAAGGAACCTGATGATACACTTGCCCACACAAGACCATCTCAGGCCATTTGATACCCCCCCCCCAAAGCCCCTGCCTTAGCACAGATGAAGTGGCAATCCCCTCTATCAGCGGAAGAGCTGTCTGGTTTCTAGCTCTCATGTCTCACCTGTGAGCTGCAAGACTATTTTCTCATTAAGTTGTAGGGTAAAGTTTTCATCTGTCTGGAAGTGGATGATCTCAACAAGCTTATGTTTTTGCTCAGGATGATCCCAGGATAAAGCTCAGTCCCTGGTTCTGTGTGTTAAAATACTTACCTAATACTTGACTGCTTTCTATTCTTTCCAGGGTTTCTTTGTGTCAGTATTTTACTGCTTCTTGAATGGTGAGGTAAGTAGTTGTCCCCTGCCGTCAGTGTAATTAATTCTTGGGAGGTGGAACCTACTTGAATGCCTGATTATAGGGACATGAGATACTTTTACATGGGGTCATAGTCCCATCAGTTTGTTGCTCTTGCACAAGTTTCTGTTGATGTGCATCTGAATTTCCCAGCCCTCTTTGTAGGTGTCCTTTGTTCACAAAGCTTTATCAAATTCAGAATATTACCTGGGAAGTCATGGCAGAGAAAAAATTCTTCTTGTATTATAAAATGATAGTTCTTCATTTTAAGACTTCTTTGAAGTTTCTCATTAATTGCAAATACCATTTCTGGGCATACATGAGCATTGCTTCTGAGCTGGGCTCTTGTTAAGGATATGCTGCAGGTGACCCATTTACGTAGTGGGATTGCCATGCTGAGCTGAATGAGTTCATTTTTCTGTCTGGATATCTATCTCTGAGTGATCAATACCTGTTGCATTCAGAAAAGAGGGTTGGGAACCAGGCTGGTGGTGTGCCTCAGAATTCATTTTAGGTACTGCTACTCAATCAAGAACTGTTTCACTAATATCCCTGAGTGTTTGACTTACACCCCAAAGTGTGAGAGATTTGTAACTTTTCCCCTGCTTACACTGCCAGCGTCTCATTTACCTGCACTTAAGCATGCCATCTTTGTCCAGTTAAAATTTGGGTCTCTGCAGAAATTAATTCAATGCCTTAATTATTCCTGCAGCACCAGTATATATTTTGTTTGCGCTGCTGCTTCATTTCATTGCGAGCTCCCTGTGTGGCACTACGAGAAAGAACGGGCAGGTCACCTCACCCAGCTGCTCTGCCACATTTTCTATACCTCAGCCAATGAAGCACCACTATTTTTGGTTTTTTTTTTTTTCTTTTCTTCATTTCCCCTCTTCCTCATTAATTCTGAGGCAATGTTAACTAGAAACAGCACTGCTTTCTCAGGTTAGGCACGTGCTGCTTTTATATACTGGCAGCAGAGTGTTCTCAGTTCTCTTTCCAGCTTCCCTTCAATAAAGTCCAACCACTCCATTTGCTTCTTAATAAATAGGGAGGTGAAATCTTCCCCCAAAAGTACAGACACCTCAATTGTGTGACTACGATTACCTCAAAACCTTGCTATGTATCTGAGTTGCTTTGTGGCCATACTTTTTTTTTTTTTTCTGAGCCACGGTGCTGCACAATCATAGAATCATAGAATCACTTTGGTTGGAAAAGACCTTTGAGATCATCGAGTCCAACCTTTCACCTAACCCTGCCATCCCACCACTAAACCATGTCCCTAAGCACCTCATCTACCCTTCTTTTAAATACCTCCAGGGAGGAGGACTCGACCACCTCCCTGGTCAGCCCATTCCAGAGCCTGACAACCCTTTCGGTGAAGAAGTTTTTCCTAATGTCTAGCCTAAACCTGCCCTGGCGCAGCTTCAAACCATTCCCCCTTGTCCTATCGTCTGTTACCAGGGAGAAGAGGCCGACCCTCACCTCACTGCAGCCTCCTTTCAGGTAGTTGATGATCAGATGAGGTTAAAGGCACCAGAAGTCTGCCATGGCCCTTCAGTAGCACTTGTCATATTCATCAGGTTGACACTGTTAATGCAGAAGGAGAATCTTCCATGTAGACAGTCAGCTTTTTTTCTGTCTTTTTTTTTTTCTACCTTTTTTTTTCACTGGTGCCACAGTGAACATCAGGGGCTGGAACCTGAGCCACATGACTTCCCATCTCCTGTAACTGAAAGGAGTTCAGACATAATCAGGCTTGTTGAAAGACAGGATGATTCATCTCATGTACTTCTTCTATGCATTGATAACAATCTACTGATTTCCATAAGAGAGATTTTCCCAGGTATATCACACTGCTATTATAGTTTGGGCATTTCTGTGGGAGTCAGTTCAAGGTTAAGACACCCAACTTGGGTGATCTAGGTGATCTTGATTCATTTACCTAAACATAGGTATCTGGTGCTGCTTGAGAGGCTATGGAGTATCTGAGGCATCCACATGGTTCCTACCAGGTGTGATACAGCATCTATAGAATATTCACACCTTCTGCCTGGGAAGCGGGAAGCCAAGTGGGCTACAATGGGGCTTCTCAAATGGCTCAAGCTCTGCATGTCACTGGTTCAAGCCAGTCAATGCAATCTTTTTCTCATCAGCTTAGCCTACAATTGACACCTCCATTTGCTCACCTGAACACCTCTAGTCTTCACTGACAGTATGGACTAGCTCTCCACTGACTATAATGCATACCTAGACACTCCGCTCACATGTAGACACCTACAAATAGCTGAATTTGTGAGAAAAATCTTCTCTGTAGCCATATGTTTACATCTAGCGTGCAACTTCCACTTGACTGGCTAAATCATGCCAACTCCCTGACTACTTCTTTGAGATACAACATACATCTAAACCCCCCAAATATTGCAGCATTGTCTACTTCAAAACTGTGAAAGGTCGTTGGACTCATCTTAAGGTACTGTGGGAGTGTTTTTGAAGTATCATAAAGGTTTTAAAGGATGGAATTTCCTGCTCTGCTCTAGCTCCAGCTCTGCACAGCTTAGAAACAAGTAGCAAATCCAGTGAATTTTCAGAGCTTTCTGGGTTTGTAATCATACTGTCCAGGAAAGAAAACTGCATCTTATAATATACGATGATAAAGGCTCTCCCTTGTGATAGTGCCTATCCTTCCAAGACCTCCAGACACTCAAAAAACATTCTAAGAAGAGCTTTTGTTTCCCAGATCCCATTCTGAAGGCCACGTCACATCACATTGCAAAAGCTTGCAATGATGCTGCGTCTTGCCTCCTTGTGAAGTGAGAGGCCTGTGCAGGCTACATTGCCAGTGGAGGTGTATATGAAGGCCTTAGTTGTTAGCAGAGCAAAAGTGTGGTTTTTTTATTGTAAACTTCCACGTCTAAGCAGTGAAAGCCATACTGATTTACTGCTCACTTAGATTTGCAGTACACTGTTTACCTCAATGATCTGCTGTGAAAAAGTCTGTATTTTTTAGTGCATGTGAACAGCATCACATCAGAAGTACTGTTGTCCTGTGCAACCTGCTCTGGGTCACCCTGCTTTAGCAGGAGGGTTGGACTGGGTGATCTCCCGAGGTCCCTTCCAACCCCTTCCATTCTGTGAAGTACCAAAATATCATTTGCATTCTCCTGATGCAATCCCTCCTGAGGCATCCCTACTAGAAGTGGTGATGAAGGTAGTGCCACTCAATCCACATGAGGTACCAGCACTCTTAGTGAGATCGCCGGCAGATTTTGCTCTCAAAGAGGAAAATAGCCTGTAAGTAGTAGCCTTTCAGTGCCTGAAATCTTTATAAATATCACTAAAGCCTTGTTGAATTATTATCTCTTTAGTGAGTCTGATATTCCTGTCTCTGTGATAGATGGGCTGATGACTTGCTGTCTCAGAAGGTTGTATATACTTCAGGTCTTCCAGTTATGAAGAGTTGGGTTCTTGAAATGCATGTAATAGTCTTTAATGGGTTATTCATCCCACACAGCGCCAGGCCTGCTCTGAATGATGACACAAGCAAAAAGTCTAGAAAATCCATTAATTTAAAGCTTTAATAATGCTGTGATCTCAGCTGCATGTCTACCATTTCATATTTGATACAGATGCCACTAGGTACTTACAAACTTCCAGTCACTGTAGTAGAGCTCAAACAATACGGATTGCAGATGAAAGCTATCGACGTTTCTGTCTTTTTGTTGGTATTCTGTGAAGTTTGTCAAATGAAACAGAAAAGATTTTTTTTTTCTCTGTAACATCTTGAAGCCTCCCTTGATTTAAACAAATGTGTCTTTATGACTTAAAGCGCTTCTCTTCCTGTGAGCTCTTTTACTCCAGATCAGAGGAGTTAGTTACACAGCTGTGCTGCTTGAATAGCTTGATGTTCTAGAGGAGAAGGCAGAGCCTCCAGCACTCTGACTGAAGATAGCACCTTTGGTTATACAAGATATCACCATAAAAGGTCTTGGTCCTGATTTTGCAGTCATTTGGTTTGACAGTTCAGCAGTGGGATCACTGAATGGAAAAAATGAAGCTATTAAATTGCAGTCCATGCAAAGAATTTCAAATGGGACAAGTTTATGCTTCATACAATACAATACAAGACAAGTTTATGCTCCTTCTGCTTTGGAGCAGGCATTTGACCTGGGAATACAAACATCTCCCTTTCCCTCATTTCCACAACACACAGTGTTTCACACAGATTTTGGACTAGCTTTGTTGGTTTCAGTGACAGTTAAGCCAATGGGCCAGGTCTTGAGAGTGTGCATCATTCGGGCCCTTCTTCTGGAGCTAAGATGGTTCAGATTTTTAGTATGAATGTCTTCCCAAACTGTCACATTATACACAAGTTATTCCAATGAACCTAAAGAGAGGAAGCAGTTTAGATACTAAGTTTTCAGGGTTTTCTATTTTATTGCTTCTGAAAAGTTCTGAAGCTGTTTTGAAGAAATTATATGTGCCATGGATAGGCATAAAAGGCCCCTGGCACTTGACTTATATTAATTTGTCTAGAGACTTTATGGGGAAAAAAAAAGATGTCTTTTTTGGACACAGAGAAAATCTGCTAGCACTAGAGGGCAAAAATATGCAAATTTCATTTAATCTGAGTAAAGAGCATCTCTGTACTTCCAAGAAAATTGAGGATGAGAGGTTTCTGAGAATTTAAAATGTTATGAAAAACAGCATAATGAAAAATACGTATGCATTTACATTAAATGCCACTTAAAAAGAATGAATGTAGGTCATAAACTTCTTTTTCAATGACTGCGAAAGTCAAGATGCTTCTCAAAATTTTTTCTATTAACTCACATACCGCAAGACTGAATTTCATTTCACATAACACTGGATTTAAAAAAAAAAAAAAAAAGAGGTTTAAGATGGAGTTTTTTGGAACAAGGATAGACACAAAGGTTTGAAACTGTGCTGAAGAGAATGCATTTCCGCAAAACTCCTGTTGGACAATTTTTATT